CTCACTGTGTCTCCCAGACAGGAGTGCAGTGGCCGCTCCCGGCCACTGCAGCATGCGCTACCATGCCCGACTGATTTTTTGATTTATTGTAGAGATGAGGTCTCGCTGCCCAGGCGGGTCTCGAACCCGCGGGCTCAGGCAATCCACTCACCTCAGCCTCCCAAAGGCGCGGGATTACAGGCTGAGCCACCGAGCCCGGCTGAGCCCCAGACTTTTGAACAACCCAGCCTGAACCCCTCCACCCACTTTTACGCAGCACAGAGACCATATCCCCTTTTCCTGGGCACAGAAAGAAGCTGCTGGGGTGAGAATGTGGGGCTAGGTAAGAGCCCTAGAGAAAGCCTCTCACCTCTGTTGCTCAGCTGATACCACTTCCAGAGATAGCAGCCCCCCCACTGCTTCACCTCTGACCCTGCTCTGGTCTATCACTGGTTCTCCCTTTAGGCCACTGTCCAAAAGGTAAGTCCATGAGGTGGTTCCCTGTGCTTTTCAAAGCCCAAAAGCCCAAGCTCACACACCAGACAGAGAACAAGGGACCTTTACTGCGGGTTCCTCCTGACATGAGCTCCACCCCGCCCCTGAGGGAAGAAGGAGGCAAGCACCAATGAATTCTCTGGCAGTCCGGACTGGGGTTTTGTAGCTGGCTAACTCCCTCAAACGGCCATGAGGATTGTGTCTTCACCTGCCCCATGAGGGGAGGAGCTAGGGTGAGATCTCATACTGGCCACCAGCCAGGATCTAACACAGGCTGGTTCGTGCTTGAGAGATGAGACAGCAGCTTGATCTGAGACTTGCCCCACATTTCGCTTTCCTTCCCCCCACAGGGCTGTGAAGGCTCCAGGTCCCCACTACACCTCTGACCCACTCAGGGATCTCTGTTTCAGCTTCCTCTCCTCTTGTGCCTTTTCTCTGTCCCCAGAGGAGAAGAGGAAGGCACGCATGTGACAAACCCTGCAACCTTGGCTTTCTTCAGCACTGCTGAATTGGGATAAAAAGCAACCTAGTAGCAAGTCCTGAACTTGTAGTCGGACAGACCTGAATCCAGTCTTGGTTCTGCCACATACTGGTTGGGTAGCCTAGGGTAAATTACTTTAATTCTCTGAGACTTCATTTCCGTATCCACAAAATGGGATGGTGGTTATACCTATTTTGTAGGATAGGTGGAAGGACTTAATTCACATATGTCCAAGATATGTGTGCAGGGTGGCATTTAAAAAAAAGGAGCTGGGTGCGGTGGCTCAAACTTGTAATCCCACCACTTTGGGAGGCAGAGACGAGAGGATTGGCCTGAGCCCAGGAGTTTGAGACCAGCCTGGGAAACTTGGCAAGACCTTGTCTCTACAGTCAAAAAACTTAGCCAGGTGTGGTGGTGCATGCCTATAGTTCTGGCTCCTCAGAAGGCTAAGGTGGAAGGATCGCCTGAGCCCAGCAGGTTGAGGCTGCAGTGGCTGTGAACATGCCACTGCACTCCAGCCT